CTGTTCAAGAGTGTTCTTGCCAGGATTTCGCCAGCAATGGAGAGCAGAGTAATACCACGATAGTTTGAGCAATCTGATTTAGTACCTTTCTTCTTATACAAGGTGATGATGACTGCATCACGGAGGTCTGATGGTAGTTCACCGAGCTCCCAACAGCGCACCACAAACTCGTGAAATTTGGTGTGGAGTGCAAGGCCCCCATGTTTCCAAACTTTAGGTGGAATTCCATCAACCCCAGCTGCCTTGCCGATTTTCACCTGATGTATGGCCTTGAGGGTTTCTCCCAAAGTGGGGGCAGTGTCCAGTTCATACTTTACTGGTTGTTGTGTGATGGACTGAATTGCTGAGTCTTGGACTACACGGTTGGTACTGAAGAGAGTCTGAAAGTGTTCAGACCATCAATTCAGAATGGAGGTTTTATCTGTTAGAAGGGTTTGACCATCAGTGCTGAGTAGAGGGCTTTGTACCTGGTATTGCACAGTTCTATTTTCTAATCAAATTACAAAGTACCTTTGAAATATTAATATGCACTACTAATTAGAATCCTTAAAGGTGACTGAAAGTACGACTTTAAAAATTTTATTAATAAAAACATTGAAAGCAGAAATCATTGCAATTATATCAGTCACATTATTCCTTTACTTCCACTTTTTATATATAATCATGGCATAACTTTAACGAAAAATGCATGGTTTTATCAGATGAGCTCATTAAAAAACTAATTTGAGATTATATTTAATCTAAACAATGAAAAATGACAGCTTTGCTTCAGTCTCTGTATTTTTCAACAACTGCCAAGAATTCTTTTTCCAGTATGAAGTGGGGCAGGGGTGGGGGGGAAGGAAAAGAAAAAAAACAAAAACAAAATCAGAAAGATTCTGAATGTGAGCATGTGTCATGGTTTGAGATAGCCCCAAAAAATCTTATTCCCTAGTCTAAGCCCCCTCCCACATCTCAACCTAATGTGAGATGGGTTTTTCCAGACAAAACACACCAGACTCCAAATGGAGGAAAGGGAATATATTACAATGACTATATAAATAAATATTATAACACATTATACACACAATCACAACTATCTCTACTATGGGAGGCGTGTCTGGGGGCACAGGGGATGTGCCCAGGTGCAGAGCCCAAGGAGCATGCCCCAGAACTAGTAAACTGGTTGGTTAAGAAAGTCACATGACATGTAAGGATAAAAGCGAGCGCGAGTTTTGAATAAACTCTCTTCGACCAAACCATCGCATGAGAGCATCATTATTCCTTGTTATACAAGGTCCATGCCGTTACACTCTACCATGACATATAGTATTTACAATGGATCAGATCTCTTCTCCCCTCCAAATAAAAGTCCAGGAGGGAAGAAGGACAGATGCCTTTCCAGTCTCAAAGCAGGAGTATCTTCTACAGCAGCAGGTTCTCTGTGTCTTCCACGCAGCAGTTGATAGCTGGATCTCTGCCAGCACTCATGAGGGAGGTATCCAAGCTCCCTCGGCCCCGTCACCACCAAGCGAGGGGTCTTCCTCCGTGGACTACGTCACCCCAGACAAGGTCGTTCCACCACGGTCATATCACGAGCACAGGGGCTTCGTGACGGTCTGGTATCTTCAGAAGATTCAAGCTCCTTGCAGGGCCTCTGTGCCCTGCCTCAGGCTGTGAGCTTCTTTGTAGCTTGCAGCAAGGGAGGGTCCCCAAGGTCACCCTCTCCGCATTCCTCTCCGTCCCGGTCCAGCTTCTCAGCTCCTCTCTCTCTCTGGTGCTGCTGTACTCCAAGGCTCCTCTCAAATAGGAGTCCATCTACTCCTCCTTTCTCGGAGGAGTTTGGGGGAGGTCTGGTTCAGTTCTTACCCCCAAAAACTCTGTCTCTCAGCTGCTGGTTCTCTTTCAGCTTGCAGAAGTTCTGTCTGCTTTGCTGCATGTTTTGTTTACTGCTCCCTTATCTCTTGGCTCTGCGCCGCCGCTTTTCCTCCAGTCAGTCCTGGCTGCTGCTACTCCGGCCGCTGCCCACGGTGGAGAGAAAACTCCCAGCCTTCATAGCTACAGACACATAGTCCAGCTTAACACTGTTCCAAGTCTCTGCAGTCCCCCCCCAGCCAGGGGCTGGGGGACCACAGAGGCCCAAGGGGCTCCGAGTCCCTTCCTCGTGGCTCTACAACATGGCCACCTCTCCTGCAACAACCAAACTACAACTCTTCTCTTCCGGTCAGCTTGTGGAATGTTTACATTTTGCAGGAGCGCCCATTGGACAAAACTTCAAAACTTCCAGGGGTTTCCACCCCTTGGGGGTTTTACCATTTTTCTTAGCCTCTGGGGGAAAACAAGGTCCAAACCACTATAGCACATTAAGCCTTTGTAAGCAATTTGAAAGTACTCTTTAGAAAACCTGAAGTGAATAACCTGAGCATCTGAGGACACCAACCAATGGAGACGGTATCTGTTGCTTTTAAGTGACCCATCTAAATTCAGTAAAATGCATCTAATAGAAGCAGACTGATATTCCAAAAATGCATTTGAGTAGCCATAATGAAAAACATAAACATTTAAAGCCAGGAGTGACATATTGCCTCCTAAGAACTGGCCAGCACTTAACAAAGCTAGCATTAAATTTTATAAGGAAATTTCCAGTTATGAAAGAAGGGTGGAAAGTGGGAACCATGTATTTTGTCAAGAGATATGGAACTTGTTCAACATCTCTAATGACAAAGAAAGCAAAAATTCCACTAAATTGAGCATTATGTGGCTTGTTCAGATTTGATTTCAAAGTTACCTTGCTGGGCAAATTCTGAGTTCAAAATACTCAAGACAAAAACTGTCCTTGAAATCAGCAGATGTGTAGATAGAAGGACATGTCTTACAGACAGAAGTTTCTGCTTTGTGAGAATCCCAGAAAGCATGGAATTCAGCTGGAGCCAAAAACTGAAAGAATTTTTTTGACAATTTAAATATAACTTTGCAGCCTTCCAGGTCCTGAAGGAAGCCTACAAGAAAGATGGAGAGGGACTTTTTACAAGAGCGTATAGTGACAGGACAAGGGGGAATGGATTCAAACTGAAAAAGGGCAGATTTAGATTAGATATTAGGAAAAAATTCTTTCCTGGAACAAGTTGCCCAGAGAAGCTGTGGATGCCCCATCCCTGGCAGTGTTCAAGGCCAGGTTGGACAGGGCTCTGAGCAACCTGGTCTCATGGAAGGTGTCTCTGCCCATGGCAATCCCCCATTGAAACCAGGTGATCTTTAAGGTCCCTTCCAACCTAAACCATTCTATGATTCTGCGATAACTTCCTTAACTATCTATAATCTCTCCTGCTAAAGGTTTGAAGTTCACAATGCTAAATCAATACAATGAAGATGTATTGACTTCTCTTGAATTATTTTTTCCAGTGTATTGCAGACAGGATTTCTGTGCTGCATGTCACAGACCAGCATCCAAACCAAGCAATTTCACAACTACAAAGAGTTTAATGATTAATAAAAAGGAACTAGAGAAGGTCCTGTGGGTATTAAAACAGCCCTGAAACAATGAAATGTTGTAAAGTGACCTTTGCACAAATAAGAACTCAAAAATAGTTAAGATTTTGGTACACTATATCAACAAGGGACTGAGTGACTGTAAGAGACTGGTTTAGCATCTCAATGGATTATTTGATTATTGGGTCAAATCAATCAACTTGTGTGTGTCGGGGCAGGGGTCATGTCAGAGTCCTCATGGTAAGGCCTTCCACGGAAGGCAAGTGGCCTGTATCGGAAGCCATGTGGCAGAGCCTGTCAATCAAAAGGTCTGCCTGGTAGCTCACCCACACCACACCCCCTGGATCCTCTGGTTGGCTACAGCAACCCTCACTCTGGCCTGGAGGGCACTGAGTGCTCAGTTGAGCCAGATATCTTGCCTGGGAGGGATGACCACAGTAGCCAAGGCACATAAATAGAGGAGAACAAGGGCTCTATTTTGCCTTTTCGACAGGACCTGCAATCACCATGTGAAGTTCTGGATTTCCGTAAGACCTTTCAGCACTAGCTATGCAATTCTCTTATTCTAACCTCTTTCTTTACTCCTTCTTTCTTTTCTTAATATCTTCCTTTCTTTACTTTTTCCCTGATCTCTTGTGGGTATTTTACTAAGTTGTATGGGATTGGTGTTTGCTGGGTACTTTAGTGAAATGCTGCTGCTTCTCCTTGGTTGTGTGTTACTCCTGTGAACCTTTTGTCAAAATGTCTGTCGTCTCACTAAATTAGAAAAGCCTCTTGGGAAAAAGTGCATGGTTTTTTCTCTTTATGTGAACACAAGGTATTAAAGAACTAAAGGCTCTGCAAAAGTTCATTGGGAACTCTTGGATTCTTAAATAAAAGTGAAATGGCTAGATGACTTGTTGTTTTGATCCAGGGCTTTACAGTGACATATTACTCTCTTTGCTTGTCTAAACTTGGATGGGGCGGGGGGGGAGCTTCACAGACTACATGGAAAAATTATTGTAGTGGAATAAAAAGGAAAATTGCAGCTCTTTCTCTTTGCTGGCAAAATAGATTTGAATAAGGTATAACGTGCATACCAGCTACAGTACAATGATGAGAATATCAAGATGAATGTTTTCAGAGAGTGTTCTTTCTTCTCCCTTAACCTATCTATACAGAGTTAGAACCCTATTGAATTCAGGCTGGTCCTCATAGGCTAGGTGATTTTTCTATGCATCCCAAACAGCAAAGCTGATGCTGATGCTGTACAATATTTTGTACAGCATGCTGATGCTGATGCTGATGCTGTACAAGTTTATCACCCCTTGAGTAAAAAAATGGCTCAGTCTGAAATAACATCACTCATAAAAGCAGATAAAAGCATTGGTATCAACTAATATGGAATAAGTAAAATTTTTCAATAAAAGGATTCCCCTTATTTCTTCTGAATCATCTGCTTTGTGAATTCTTTCATTCATAAAACTAGGCACTTAAATGCACTAGACAAAACTATTTAAGTGTATAATAAAAATAATGATTTTCAGTTTTCATGAATCTACTGTCCATGTCTAAAAGTAACAAAGTCATCTTATTCTTTCACTTCAGAAAAGTTAATTTCTTTGAAACACTGTGATAGGGCAGGGAGGAAAAAGAGGGAGAGGAAGCAAAGGGTTCTTATGTTTTTTTTATTTCCCAATCAATATGTATACATATTTATTATTTCACTACCACCACCAAAATAAAAATATTAAGAATTTCTTTTATGACCCATAGAGGACATCTGCCAACAGCAAAATGATTCTCAGAAATTCTAAAGTCTAAAAGTCTAAAATTTTATGAACTAAGAAGCTTGGTGGCTAATTCTTTGTATTTCAGTGATATGAGACATGGAGAATGACACAAAATGTGTCTGACAGAAACAGTTTCTCTCCAGAAATAAGAAGTTTATAGAGCATGACATGCATGACCATGACATTGATGAAAGGAAGATCTTCATACTGATGAACCTAGGATACAGCATTGGAAAAGTTTAATGGCCATTTCAGCTTATGCAGCTATCAAACATTATACATGTAATGTTTATTATGACCAATAAAACCTATTTCCAGTCCGTTGCAAAGGGACTCTATTGAATGGTCAGTTTCTTAATGTCATCATCTTTGCTGCCATTCTGTAAAATCTATGATAATTCCATTGCAGAGCATAGGAATGCTGCATGTAGATCAGATTAGCTGGGTCAATTTAAATGTTGTTACTGGGTCGATTATATTGGCTAAGGCACCATTGATTTAAAATAAATTCCCATATTGATTCATTATCCTGTAGATGATGAGATTAGCTCAGTTGGGTAGAGCATAGTACTAATAATGCCAAGGTTGAGGGTTTTGAACCCTGTATGGGCCTTTCGCTTAGGAGTTGTACTTGAGGATAATTGTGAGTCCCTTCCAACTCAGAATATTCTGTGATTCTGTGAAACATGAACAGCTTCACGTACAGATTTATTCTTCAGATCTAAACAGATTCACAGGATGGCTTCTAATTCTGTGATATATCAATTTTAATAAAGACTAAAAAACTCTGTGTAAACCATATGTAGAGAATTAATCACAGGTTTATGAAGTTGTCATAGTGTGGGAAAACAGAAAACAAAAGAACATTACAAATATGAAATCTAAAAGGATTCCACCTTGTATAGTTCAGTCAATGACTGATTTAGATTTTAGTTGGAGCGTATACAATACAGAAAGAGCAGTAAGGTTTTTCCTTTTTAATTGAAAGAGATTATCGCAAAGTTTCAGGTAAAAAAAATCATTTTTACACCAAATTTTGGGGGAGGGGGTTTCCTTCATTTTATTTCTTAGTTTGACCATCTACCAGAGGAAGACACTTCTCAATTACACGAGGCCAAGGGTTAAAAATAAATAAAATCAGAACATAGAGTATTTTTACAGAGGTAAATTCAGGCGGAAGCCGTTGTTTCCTAAAAACTCTAAATTTCACATTAAATTAGATATCCAATATAATGCGCTAATGCTTGCTAAGTCAGTGAAGTCTCTGAAGTAAGTATTTGACATAAGTTTACTTGTTCTAAAAAACCCAGTTTGAAATCTTTTTTCCCCTGCACTATGGTGAAAGAAAAGGTGTTGAACGAGGGAGGGGGAGGGCGATTCACACACACAAAAGAACTAGCCAGCAGACCCACATTCCAAGCTAATGGCCTCCAGAAGACTGGGGGGTGGGGGGAAGGTTTTTTCCTTTCTCCTCGGGAAACAGCATCGGCACTTTACTTTTGCCCTGATTCAGGGAGAGTGTGTGGGAAAAGAAGAGCTCCAGGGTTCATTTTGTTTTTGGCTGGGTCATCTGGCTGCCTTTGGCCCCGATCTGCCTTTGTTCTCCCACACCCTGTTCAGCCCGCAGCCCAGACCTGCTCAGATTTCGTCAGAGAAAGCCAGGGCCATCTGCGGAGGAACCTTTGAGGAAGAGGCCGTCCCTTCCCTCCTCCATTCCCGTGTTGGCAGCGATTTATATGCATTGACAAAGGGAGGTAATCCCAGCCAGATCCAACCACTGACAGCATGAGTCCATAGGAAAAACCCTTTTTTTCCCCTTTTTCCCTTCCCCTTCTCGGTGTGGGGGAATCTCCACTTCGGCTTCTCCCGCACACCGGGGCCCCCACGCGGTGTCCGCCAAAGCCCAACCGCGCCCCCTGCTGGCCAACACCCAGCAACTGCAGGCTGCTCCTCCAGTGATCCAACACCATCCCCTGCTGACCGTGGTTAGAATTGCACCAAAAGGCAAAAAAGTACTGAACTGTTTTTGGAGGGAACCTTGGGTACAGGATTGTTGTTTAGCTTTTTTTTTGTATTCTTTTGTTGTTCTGCCTATACACCTATATCTTTTAATAAAGGGCTGTTATCTTTTCTTTCTCACTATTTCCTCAACTAGAGCCTCTTAATTTTGGATTTACAATTCCTTAGAGGGAGGAGCTTGGTCTTTCTCATAACTCATCCTCCTTAGCAAACACTTCAGTCTCATTAAATTGAGACAGTATTACATACTAAGACTGGCAGAATTCTATCAGTTGCTGATAAGATATAGAGACATTTCTCAAGATATGAAGCACAACTATAAAACATGACCTATGAAGTTAATTTGCAGATAAAAACTATGTTGAAAGTCTTCATTTACATTGCAAAGTCTAGCTGTTGGCATCTAGGGAAGGACTGAATCACAGTTTAATACACAACTGATTAATTGATGATCACATTTTCCATAAACCCAAATTAGGCCCTTCTGAAATGTATATCTGGAAAAGTACTCTGATTAGATACTGGTATTATTTACTGGTTACACCGGAAATATTTGACATTAATTACTTTCCTTGTGTGTTTTGAAATCATTATTGATTTTAATAGTGTGTATTTTGTTTGGTTTTTGATAACACCAAAGTAATATTAGTCTGTACATCCTATTTCATGAGCCTTGTATTTACAGCCTATCCCTCTTTGAATTTTAGTGATGTTAAGTCACGGTAATAGAACTGTCTGTTCTCAGGTCTAGACTTCAGGTTGTTCTGTTTCTTTTACTGTTAAATATGCCCAAGGTTATTAAAGAGTTATGGGCTTCATCTTTTCATTAATTATTACTATTCTGCAAACATCGTATATCTAAGTATTATTACATATTTATCAATAATTAATAGAACACTCTAAACTTTTCTTCAGTGGAAGGTGCAAGTAATCAAACTCCTGCCAACAACAGAGGCAAGTATGCATTTGTTGTGATATCTGGATTATTAGATCTAGTGATTTTTAAACACCTAGTTACATGTCAAAGTGGAATATTCCAATATATCAATACCAATTTTGGTATTATCTTCAATATTTTAAAAAAATCTTATCAGCCTCAGGAACGCTTTTCTTATTAGCACCCCTTATGGGTACTCCTGGTCTATCTGAGAAAACATTGATTAAAATCCCCAGAACCGCATCATTATGTCATTACAAATTAACTTTGAATTCATCTGCTGTATCATTTTGAAAATTCTCCCAGTTTCTAAGATACAAAATAATTCATATAGAAAAGCCAGCTTAACTAAACTGAATCACTCCATTATAACAGATACATTCATCTTTTGGCTCCTCATCTGCTCTATCTCTATCTATAAACAACATTTTGTTTATAAATTCACTGGAGTGGAAACTATCATTTACTATATAACTATATAACATAAGTTTTGATTACTTGAGGATCTCTAGGTGTCTCACCAACATAACTAGTAAATACAGAAGAAATGAGATCTAAGTAGGAGCACAATAACAGGTAATGTAGAAACTTCCCTACTGATGTCAAAATAGTGCAGGATCTCTTTAACACAGACATCTGAAATATAATGATTTGGAGTGAAATTATGGCTCCAATGAAGTCCATGCTTTTTTTTTTTTACCATCTTATTTTGGTAACAGTGTAACTTTAAGAATATTTGTGTATAAAATTAACTTTAGAAAATGGCATATGTTTTTGTTTTCCTCTGTTCTGCAAGGGGTCTATTATTGTATTTACAAGTCCAATATGACAGAACGTTCTTGTTTTCATCCTTGGTTTCATACAAGAGCTATTTCTTTTTTCTTTCAAGGTTATGAATCTGATAGCTGTGTGTCAGTTTTGTAGACTTGATAGATATATTCAGTTAAGGGAGGAGATCAAAGGGAAAGCTGGTGGGCCTGAAAGTTTTGGCTGTGACAGGATGAACTCATCACCAAGCATTGTGCTGACAAGTGTTGCTGTCAGGGCACAGCAAGAACCAGCTGCTTTCTTAGGGCTGGGGAGCCAAGAGCTGAGGGAGACCCCCATGCTGGCTGTACCCTCACAAATGGGGCACCATCCACAGGGTCTGAACACAGTGATGTAGAGCACAGTGATGGTAAGAGGGCCCGTCATCAGCAGTGAACCAAGTCCAGAGAAAGTCCTGTCAGGAGCTGTTGGTGATGGGGCCAGAGACAGGGCTGAAGACAGCTCTACCCTTCAGACAAAGATTGAGCTGGGCTTGTGGGCGTTTTCAGGTGAGGCTGGTCAATAAGCCCATTCAGGCTTGTGAGTGAAATCAGGCCTCACAAAGAGCTGCTTCCTTTTAATTCTTTTCTTTAGTTTCTTTTTTTCCTTCCTTTTTCTATCAACAGCAGACCTAACAAGATGAATACATCTTGCCTCATTTCATTTGTGAATGGCATCCTGTGTAAACATCTATGAATAATACTTAAGAGTGTTGCAGTCCAAAATTTGGATATCAGCAGAAAAGGAAATGCTGAGTTTAAACAGAAAGCCTTGGGCCACAGGGGCCGAGGAAAAACCCACCATCTAAAAGACCAGACAAGATCCATTGACATTCATTCATGTGGACTGTCCTGTCTCCCCCAGTAGGATATGGAGAGACTCTGCTGTGATGCTATCAGTTCATGCAAAAGCCCCATTGTTTTCTTCCCACCCTGTGTAATCCTTATTTCGGGAAAAGCTGACCATCCTTCCTTGGTGTAATCCTGATTGCTGGAACTATCAATCCTTTTTCCCCCAGATGTAAATACTGGATCAGAGAAATGTAAATCCCTTTTTCCCCTTATGTCGCCCCTCCTACTGGAATGCTAATGGGTTGTGGAATACCCTAGTTGGCATAAACTGGTCTCCTTATTAGCATATTAAGCCCCCGAGACCCTTAAATAAACGTTTTGCGTGTTCAATAAACTATTCCAGTTTCTACCTCCATATCTGGGATCGTCTAGCTTTATTGGAGCCATTACAAAGAGGATAAAATGCTGAAAGTCTTCTTCATACTTAAGGGAAATACAATTAAATTGTCTTTAATTTGTATCTATTGGATATGCTGAGTTCTTGAGCAGCCTCTTATGGAATGTTTTCATACACAGAGCTCCATCTGCCTGAATCTACAAATTAGCAGGCAAATTAAACAAATAAGAGACTCTTTTTGCTTTCATATCTTTGGACTTTTACACTTACAAATGCTAATTTACTTGCACAGCCACACATCACAAAGAAAATTTCTTGATACTACTGAAGAGAAAGTTTTTTCAGTGGAGCTGTGACTTCATACTTACTTGTTTCCTATTCTAACAGGTTTATGTGCAAATGTCGAGGATGCGTTTGGAAAGAGTGATCAACACCTCCCCTGGGAGCTGAAATAAAAGTAAAACAGTAACAGAGACTTTTGCATTTCAAAGAAGGTTCTCGAGACCAAGTTAGTTACAGAGAAAAATAAAACTGACTCTTTCCTTATTCTTTTACCTAGCTTAATACAATGCTTGTAAGACTCATATTTTTCTTATTTATGCTCCCTGTATTTGTCAGTCAGATTTCCTCAGTCATTAACCTTTCTTTTGCTATTCTGTAATTTATTTTGTTAATTCATTTTACAAGAGAGCATGCAAGGATTCTTTCTTCTCTTTCAAGTGAAGCATAGTGCTTTATGCTAACCTTCACAAGTCATGCTGAACTTGTCAGTGATATTTATCATCCGAGTTTAAAAGGTTATCTATACATTTTCCAGTTGGACACGTCATTCATTAGTTTGGTTTTTTTTTTACTGATTTCTCAGTATGTAGTGATATGGGATTTGTGATCCATATGGTTTACATTTCAGAGCTGATCAGGTCAAAAAAAGATCAGTAGAAGCTGTTCAGTCACTTTGATTGATTTATCAGTTCTAATGACATCATACTGAGTGAAATGTTTTCAAGAATGCCACATAATTATAATCAAACAATCTTGCCTCAACATATGATAGTTCATTGAACTGAAAACTGACACATAGAAAAGGAATGGAACTATTTAATTTTATCATCATGTTATTAAAAATATGAATTGAAAATCAGGTACTTAGTTATTCAATTTATCAATTGAAAAAAAATAAATATTATGTTCTTAGCCTGTGAATTTGAAAACATATTGGTTTTGTCTTAATAAAACAAATACATACCAGTAAAGCTGGATTAAAGCCAAAATGTGACAGTGCTTTTCAGTGACATTTAAGAACTTATTAACTAAAAGAAGGCGTCTTCTAAAAGAAACTGGGTACTTCACAACGTATATCTCATTAACTTTCAATGGGCTTTTTTGAAAATGAGGTGTCTAATTTATCACTTTTATAAGCAGTAGTAATGGAATACTATCCAGCATTTTCAAATATCTCAACCCCAATACATGAATGTCGTAAAGGCACATTCATAAATCATCAATTTCTATGTTGATTTTTTGTTCTATTTAATTGCAGCTGAGATTGACCTCAGCACTTCTAAAATTGCAGCATATTTTTACCTAGATCTCTGGATTTCGAAAGGAAGCTTAAAAATAGGCATTCCAAGTAGACAACACTGGTTTCATTTATGTAATTTAATAGTTTGTCATCACCAAATATTGTAATAATATTCCTTTCATTTTGCCCTTGATCAAGCAGATAATTCATTCCAACTGTTGAAGAAAATACTGGGAAGCAGAATGTGCATGCTACTAATATTTTGGATTCAAGCAGATTTTAGGTCAAAGGGAGGACAAAAATATAATTGAAACCAAAATTGTTCATTTCTTTCCCTTCCTTAAGGACTCTTCCTTTGCTTATTTAGGTGAGTTAGTGCTATCTGTAAGAATCTTTCTGGTATACAGAAATCTCACAAATTTATGTGGAAAACTACTCACTGAAATCATTCTATGGACAATAATAGAAAAGTCCAAAACATCACTATACACAAAAGAAAGTCAAATAATTACAAATATCCACAAACACAAATAAAATTATTGCAAATACCCATAGAAAATAAAACTTCTGTTTGTATAGCAAAGACTGACAAAAATACTGAGCAATTTATGTTTGGAAAGAAAAGATCAAAAATCCTTGTGAAACACCACTTTCACCATAGGAGTCATTCATCCCAAGAGAATTTTGAATGCATTAGGTTGTATGACTGAAATGGTATTTATATATCTTCTCTTTAAGGTGTTTAAAATATAGTTTAGCTAATTACACTTTTGCTTGCTGGACAGTTCCTTATCATTTATGGATGTTGACTCCCATAGTTTTGAAATCTAGAAATACCGCCAAAACTATAACTGATCCTATTCTTCATTTCAACAGGTTTTTTTACAGATAATGTGCAGAACATCAAAAAAGCTCCACTGCAGATATAGGAAAACCTCAGCCTATTATTCATTGAATTCTATCTGGGAATGTTCAAATATTATATAATTTAAAAAGCAACAAATGTGGAACTGAATTCTTTTTTCTTGTAATTAAGAAAAGTGTCACGGATATATGAGGATCACCAGTTATATCAAACACAAGCTGGAAAACTCCTACTATTTTCCCTGGGTATAAATTCTCTTCTTGAATTTCCCCATGCCACCACACATAGTGGTGTGTGGTCCAGCTGCTGCCAAGGGACCAGCCACAGAGAGCGAACAGGGGGAGTGATGGGAGATGGCCCTATTGCGGGAGGTCCCGTGGGAGTTTGGAGGGGATGAGAACAGTTGGCAGGACAGGGACAGGCTCTCTTTGTTCCCGCACGGCAGTCAAGAATGAGCAGCCACCTCTTGGGACCGTGGCCACTGTCGTCTTGCTCTCCCCGCCACGGGACCCAGCCAGCCTCCTACCACTGCCTGCCATACCTTGCTACATAGAGTTTGTGTTGCCCTGCACACCCATCGCCGGTGTTGCGCTGCATATCAGTGGCACTCTCACTGCTGCCACGGAACCTGGGGGAATTCCCTTTGTGTGTGGTGAGCGTCGCTGCCCACGCACAGATCTCCAAAGCTGTTGGCACAGCTGCAGCCAAGAAGAAACTGCTGCCTCTCTTTATTCTGGGATGGCAGTTGAGTTGATGAGCCCCTATGCTCCTGCCTGTGGCTTTGCTCCACATACCAGTGCTTTCACTACCAGCCGCCACCCTCCCGTGTTCCTCTGCTGCCGACTGCTGGGCCAGGGTGTCCCATCCTGCTCACCAGACACCAGGACTGTGCTGTTTTTAGACCCCTGGTGCTTTCTGCCATTTTTTGTCTGCACTGCCTAGGCACCCCCCTATCATCACTACAGCCAATTGGAAAGAACTGGGAACCTCCTTTGTGCACCTCTCCATGTGTCATCTGTCTGGCACGGCGGCAATTCCACTCCAACTCCATTGTAACTCCGTGACTGTGCTGGGACTGCATTGTTGCCTCAGTGACACAGAAGTGAAAAGAGTGATTTCTGGGTGACATTTTTCTCTGTTATTGTGTGGATGTTGCTTTTGTTCTGTTTTGTTCCTTGTTTTTAGTAAACTGTTATCTTTTTTCTATACGTTGCTCGAAAGTCTCATATTTTCAAATCAGCAATAAGTCTGGGAGCTAGGGGTCTCTATTTCATTGGAGGTACTACCTCCTAGTGTACATTGTCTTTAACCCAAGACACCCTGAGAAGGACAAAAATTTCACTTGTGACTTAAGGTCTTTAGTACATAATAAAGACATGGTTATAGAATAGAAACAGTTGGAAGGGACATACAAGGATCACCTAGTGCAACTGGTTATAATGGTCAGAAATCTCTCTTTTCAAAGAGCAAAGTTATAAATACCTTATAAACTAATAAAAAACATGGAGAAACAGAAAATCTACAGGACAACCAGTAGAAATTTATCTTTCTCTCAAGATTTTTGGTTGTAAGAAATTCTAATTACCATAAAAAGTATCTTCAAAGACTCTATGTATTGTAACAGGACTTTGGGAAGCTGATAGAACCTTGCTCCAGAGAGTAAGTCTAATAGATGGAGAGAAGTTGCAGTCTTAAAGGTCTACTAAAAAAAAATAAAATATTTTTAGACTTCGCACTAATTCATTATACACAGGGTATAGCAAGAAAATTTGTGCACCATATTTAAATGTATATATACTTTTTCAAAATTACTGCTTCCTGAGCCTCACTGTTAAAGGTTCATTTACTAGAGTTCTAGCTCAGTTGACTGAGTCTCTGAATTTAGAGCCAAGTGCATTACCTGAGTGACAGCAGATCGAGCCTGCATAAATAAGTGAGGAGTTATCAGTGTAAAGAGTGCAATACCTAATAGTTCCAATCCTTATTTTTAAATTAAGTGTAATACACACCCTCCTCCAGAATCACCAACCAGATTAAAAAATGCAGTCTAAATGCACTGGTGTGAATTGACCCTAACTAGACACCAGACACCCACCAAAGCCATTCTCTCACTCCCCTCCTCAGCTGGACAAGGGAGCAAAAGTAAAACAAAAGGCCTGTGGCTCAAGATAAGGGCAGGAAGAGATCAGTCACCACTTACCATCAGAGGAAAAACAGTTCACACTTGGGGAAATTAGTTTGATTTATTACCAATCAGATCAGGATAATGAGAATATAAAAGCAAATCTCAAAATCAACTTTTATCTGGATAGCACCACTCAGGATTGCATATGCTGTGCCTAGTGGTATAGATCCCACACCTGGCAGTGGATCACAAAATGCTTCACCTATAATAAAGCTCCACTAAACCGCATGTGGTTATATTACATTTCTATTATAACTTATGCAATACCCATACAACATGCCAGACCTCTGAAGGGAGAATTTAAGCCATTTCTTAGACTATTACATTATAAAATTATTCTAAGGTTTCATTCAGCTCTTTACTTTAGTCCCTAATACACAACATACGTAGCTGTTCATATTTTTGGTGTACTCAATTACCAATTTTGTTATATCAGTGCCCAGAAAGCCCTCGTTGTTACGTTCAATAAGCAGTCACAAAACTGCCTTTGATGGGTCTAGATAAGAAATTAAAAATAATGGTGAAAGGATATAAAAAATGATGTATAGGCTGAACCTAGTTCTGATTTCAATTTCATTGACTGTATACTAATTTAACTGCACGGACTTAATAAACATATTATGATTTACACTGCTGCCACTCGCCTATATTTCAAACACAGATCATAATTCTATAATTCAATGCTACCTAATCCCTTAAGGCAACAATGAAAGTCCTCTTTTTTTTAAAAAATAGCATATATTTTTTAAAAATTGTATATATATAGATATACAAATATACATACATACAGACATACAAATGAAAAATTATATACAATATCTATAAATAAAAAAAAAAGTTGCTCAGGTATTATGCAGCCTCTCAATAAAAAAGAATGGTTAAGGATAATAACTTTCTTTGTTAGCATGTTAATTTACCTGTTTTGTGTAAAGAGGAGAAAAAATCAAGAGTAAATTTAAAAAATGAAATCAAGGAAGAACAATACTTTATGGGCATTCCTACAGTAAAAGCAATTAAAACACAACTGTCTCAGAAAAAAATATGAACAGAGATTTAAGCACCAAAAGTTTTTGTTCTTATGTTAAATATGCTGGCTTGTATTTATACTACTCCTATCAACGTATATTATGACACGTTGTTGTGGTTTATGAGTGATATTCCCCAATTTAATTTTCCCACTGAAACACTCCAAACCATGTGTGTGCCGCTTTCTCACTCCCCACTTCCCTTTCCCCTTCCCCTGCAGCGGGGTGGAGAGGAGAACTGGAGGCACAGAAGGTAAAGATTACGGGTTGAGATAAGAACAATTTACTGGAAACAGCAATGAAATAAGAAACAAACTAACAGCAGCAGTACCAATAACAGGATGTTCAAGAAAAGAGGTGAATGACTCACACGTTGCTCACCCTGCAGAAACCCCCCAAAATACCCAACCACTCCCTCTACCACGCTACGTGATCTGGAAGAGAGCCCTTCCCTCATCCCCAGAAAATGACATGAGGTGGTAGAGAATAACCTTCATGTCCTTGTCATGCCCTCTCCTGACTACTGCAAAAATTAACCCTGTCCTTCCATTGAAGATACTTAATTTCCCCCTGAAAAGTCCACTTGTAAAACAATTAGTATTTCTTTGCTTAGTACAAAGCAGTTTGATTTCCAACAAGAAAACTTCCCTGTATAAATTTTGAGCTACCTCTACTCTGAGGTCACTACTAACAATGAAAAAGAAAAGCTTAAAACAGCCCCTATGGAAAAGCATAGCCCTCTTCTAAAGAATCAATGAAAAATTTCAAACTAAATTTTAGGTTTGTGATTTCATCAGTCCTGCCTGGGTACTTCCTATAATAATACTGCACCAAGATCCACTTTTAATTGTCACAAATTTTTCATGTAATAAAACTCTATGATTGCAAAAGCAAATATACAGGTATTAACTAAAATATCTTCATTTGTGAATTTACTGCTGATCTGGCTATTTTAAGCCCATACTCCAGGTTATCCAGTTCTTGTTGGTTTGTTTTTCCAGTGTGAAAATCTTCAGACGGAGAGGCATGTGGTGCAACAAACACTGGAACCTCTTTCAAACGGTGTCATAGGTTTACTTGTTCTAAAAATCCAAGCAGAAATTTTGCTTTCCCCTGTCCCGCTGTAAGAGAAGGAGGTTGAACGAGGAGGGGGAAGGGGTAATTAACTATACAAAAGAACTAGCTGGTAGACCTGTATTCCCAGCTAATAGCCCTTCTAGAAAAACTGCAGGGAGGGGGAAGGAGTTTTTCTCCTCCTCTCCTTGCAAACGGGGGACACTTCATTTTCTGCCATAACGGAGGCAAGGGGGGGTGGGGGGTATTGGAAAAACTTTGAGGCCATTTTTGCTCTCGATCTGGTCATCTAGCTGCTCTTCGGCTTCAGTTTGCCTGTGCATTGCCCTGTCTCCAGCCCGAATCTGGGGGAGTACCGACCGCAGCCAGCCGCAGACAATGTGAGTTTTGCAGGAAAGAAACCGCCCTTCTCTCCCCTTCTCCCCTTCCCCTCCTCGGTGAGGGGGAGATCTCCATTTCGGCTTCTCCTGTGCATTGGAGCTCCCACGTGGTGACCGCCAAAGCCCAACCGCGCCCCCTGCTGACCAACACAGAGCACTGCAGGCTCTGCTCCTCCAGTGATCCAACACTACCCCCTTCCAACCATGATTAGAATCGTACAAGAGGACAAAGTATCAAAATGTTTCTTTTTTTTTTTTTTTTT